GACACCATTGCAATACATCATTACATATACCTCCAAGGTTGCAGCTGTTCAGTCTTCCACGAAGACATGGCTCTTGAAGTGCTTCTACGCTTGGGAGCAAGTGTGTATACAAGATACATTGAATGTCATCGTATTCTTGAACGGAGAAGGGTATCGTCAATAATAAGTGCTTTCGCTTCGCTCAGGAAACGCTCCTGGCGCAACCCCGGCCGGGCCAGTCAACTCCTCGTCACTGTCATCCATGTCAATCCGTGTCTCGTGGTCATCCTCTGGCGGCGGTGCACGCATTCGCACAAGTTGTTCCTCGTCTAGGCACGGGAGCTTATAAGGACCAGGCGGGGAATGAATGTCCCGACCGGACGGCAGGTTGGCTAAGAGGTCCGTCGATGGTGGAATGAGTTGCGTGTTGATCTATACCTCTGTCAAAGACCTGTCATGCCCAAGGACTGCAGAAATCAACTTACCGTGTCGTTCATCCTCTCCCACTTTGTCTCTAGCATTTCAATCACACGACACTCTTCCTCCCTGCCTGCATCATCGCCAGGGTCGAGCTCACCCTTCGCGGCGCGGTCTTTGCCGCCTGAGTCCTTCTCCAACCTTCGCTCCTCTCGTCGCTCAGTCCATTCCTTCTTCAATCTAAAAAAACCTCCTTTGCTCTTTGCTGAAGTCTCTTTCTCTCCCTGAGATGCACTTCTCAGGCCTAGCGCGCCTTTTGCTGCCCGCAGCCAGGCAATCCCCTCCCCTATCTTTCCTGCAAGCTCCGCATCAACACCGAAAAAACGACAAGCTCGAGCCCGCGCAACACGGCCCAGAACGCGCGCATAGCCGACCACATCTTCGTCAATCCCGGTCTTGCCATGCGCGCCAACCGCTCCCATGCCAGCAGCCGCCTGCTCCGCATACTCGGCCGCACGAACGCACAGGCGCGCAAAGAGCAGCGCACGCACCTTGGGGATCTCCGGCGCCCGCACCATCCAGTCCTTATCGTTTGGGTTTCGAGCCTGTATGCAAGCAGTGACATAGGAGTCGTCTTTCAACACAGCTAGGAGTGTTGCTTCGGCCAACGCAAGTGACGAGAGCGCCGCCTGAGCCGCCGGGTCCAGGTCTGGTAGGGAGGTAGCTGTGCCCGTCTGGCGTGCTGCGCCTGTAAAAGAGGGCGAAGACGCGAGTAGGGAGTGCACTGCGCTCGCTTGTAGGAGGTATTTCGTGGCTGTCTGGACGGCCGCGGTGCGCTGTTCTGGGGTTGGAGTGGTAGGGGCGTAGAGAGCGCGGAGGACGCCTGAGCGAGCCAAGCTGCTCAGCACGTAACCTAGTGTCGTGAGGACAAAGGCGATCTCAAAGTCGATTCCTTGTCCGCGGACGCGGCCGTTTGTGGGTCGGCTTTTCAGCGACAACGGGGTCGAGGTTAATGTAGCGCGCCATTCTGTCTCGATCTCGCTGTGGAGGGTGACATCGATTTCTTCACCACCCGTGCTGCTTCCACTTTCGACAGGTCTGCCGCTGAGTCCATGAGAGATAGCAGTAAGATACGGTAGGTAGTCGTTCAGCGCGCCGAGGATTGTGATGAGGTGGGCATCTCGTTGCGGACTGTGGGGTAGTCTTTTGTGAGCCTTGAGGGCGAGTCGCAGTGCATGCCGTGCTGTAGACGCAGCCTGAGGTAAAGATGGATGTGTGCTAGATGAGAGAAAAGTCTGAAAGGAAAGATGCGAGGTGGTGGGGAGAGCAAAGGCATACACCATGTTGCTAGAGTTATATCACTGTAATGCGGAGGTTGAGGGATGGCGGAGATGAGGAAACAGAAGGATGGGCCGTTGATGTCACCGCTAGGCCAAGAGTTGGCTCCATAGCAGACTGTTACGGATATGGTCTACAAGTCTAAAGAATAATTTTGTGATGGGCTCAATATTGTCTCCCTGGCTAACTGCCAATATACGAGCATTTTGGTATTTGGCATGACTTCATGGCTAAGTACATCATCTAGATATAAGCTATCTCTGGTTGCTGGAAACTGTCGTAACCACGGATTGACCTGTCAGGAAGACTCCATGATTTCCAAGATCATAGTATATTCCGGAGAGAGACAAATCGTATTGCCAACCGTCGTCTGGTCGTTTGCCTGGCCAAGGCATGGATTTCGACCTCGATCGTGAAGGCAGATCAGTCGGCCGCTCTAGGTTCAGATTGGGCCGGAGAACAAGCACGGCCTGATCTCAACTTAATTCAGCTTTCATACTGAAATCTGATTGAGTCGTCAGACGCGATGTGGAGGCGGACTTCGAAGACTCTGAGATGGTTAAGTGCTGTCCTTGATGATCGGTGGTGGCCATGATTTTGGTGAACCTCTTATCGAGGTGTGCATGGTTCCAGTTCTTATTGACTGTCGAAGTGATCTCGCTGCATCCTATCACACTTCCATACCATCCGCGTCTGACAAATTGCTTGGGGCGCTACTGACACCAGACGAGTCGCTTTCAGCAACATATGGCGCCCGCGACCGCACTTGATGGCTCCATTCTTGGATGCTGGGAACACCACCCTCGATGACGATCGGATGCTCCTCGGCACTTTTGCCAAGTACAGTGCCCGCGTATCGAGACTCCTCGCCTGTTTTGCTGTGCTTTTTCTTCAAAGCTGTAAGGAAATCCTCCTTCTCCACGGACTCGGGGTCGATCATATCACCCTCGCTTGGTAGGAAGCCAGCCACTCGCCGGATTTCACGGTTTGCCGGTCCTGTGAACCAACCCAAGAAGTTTTCCAGCCCCCGCATATCTTCCTCGCCTTGCCAATCCTCCTCCCATTCGCGCAATTGTGGTCGTAATGCGCCAACGTCCTGAAGTGCTTGGTAAATGTCTTCTAGCACCGGCGCGGGGGCAGGATCGTTCGGGTGAGCGTTGGCTGCGTGAGATGCAACAGAGGATGCGAGGATCATCATATACCGAGCTGTGAGATCGGCTAGTGTATCTAGGACGGACGGACGCGTGGCATGGAAGCCAGCTGCGCGCAAGATCTGAATGATGGGTGGGCGGAGGAGAGCATTGTGCAGGTTGGGCGCGGACATGATGCTACTACCTGTCGGTAGAACGTGGCAATCAAGAAGAAAATGACAGGCAAACTGTAGCAGAGAGATACCGGTCGAGTAACAAAGGGACAGCTAGTGAACTGATCAGTGTTGGTTGGATATTGATTGAGAGGTGAGAGAAAGGCGGAGCGAAAGATCAACACTTTCTGCCGGTTGTTCTCTTACTTTGGCGGAGTTCCTTGTCTCCTCCTTCCACTTGGTTCTTCCCTCTCTCATCACGACAACGGCACAACACGTTCTCAGAGGATTACTTCCTTTTTCAGAGCTCGTTGGTGCTGTCTGTTCTGGCGAGCGCTCTGTTGTCCCTAATCATACATCATCATCATGTCTGACGCCCCTCGCCCTTCACTCAAGCTCACGCTGGGCAAGAAGAAGGCGCCCGAGGGAGCTTCGCAGCCACCAAGTCAGCCTCCCCCTACCTCGTCAGAAACACCTCAGCGCAAGATCACTTTGAAAATCGCGCGAAAATCTCAACCGGCCGAAGAGGAAGAGAAGGCAAAGAAGAAGAAGCCATCGAAAAAGCGACCGGCGGAGGGGCTCACAGGTCCCTCTGCACCAGAGGCATCGGCGAAACCCGTGGGACCGAAACGTATCAAGCTTAATGCTTCCAAGAAGCCGGGAGTACAGTCGATTAGAATCAAGAACAAGGGGCTGGTCCCCAACAGACCTGTCGGCGTTGGCTACGACTCTGAAGCCTCGGATACGGAAATCGATCCTTGCATCGAGGAGCAATTCATATTACGCATGCTTCCCGGCGAAGATTGCGAATATTTACGTCAAGCGATCAATGAACGACGATTCGATCGGTCCGAATTCTCCTTCAAGCCCCTCACACGCGAGGGCCGACGCGCCGTCCTGCGGATTCGCAATAAGCAGTATGCAGCCGCACTGGTGGACTTGCCCTGTATCATCGAAGGCATGAAGAGCTGGGACCGGCGTGGATGGTATAAGTCTGCGGATATCTGTCAGATGCTTTTAGTCTTGGGGCCTGTTTCGAGCGATGCAGAGGCCCTCAATTACCCTCTTCCCTCTGACATCGAGATCCTAGACGAGAAGACTTTACAGTATCCGCATGGTCTGACACCTCCTTTGCATTACGTGAGAAAGCGGCGGTTCCGCGAGCGGCTCAGAACGCGAACGATAGAACAAGTGGAGAAGGCGGTGGAGGATCTGATCGCGCAGGACGAAGCCGCTATTGCCTCTCGCTACGAATTGTTGGACAGGGCATCCTTAAACCGGGCGGAGGGGCTTGTCCAGAGTGGAGAGTACTACGAGGAAGACGAGTACTATGACGACGAACAGGACGCAGAGGGCGAGATCGATGAGGGTATGGAGGAGGGCGCTGCCGATGATGGAGGTCTCGATCCTCTCCTGGAGGAGATGGAGGCTGCCCTGCGCGGAGACAGTGAAGCGCAGCCACAGGCAGCACCTTCCTCGGATACTGGCCTGGCGAATCTCTATCAAGCTGGAACTCCAATGGCGACCAAACCTTCCACACCTGCAGCGGATACATCGGGCGATGAGAGTGAGTCAGATGCTGACGAAGAGGCGGATGTGCCTGAAGAAGAACTGGATGATGAGCAGCTTGAACAACAGCGGCAGTTCCAGCAGCATCGCGAAGAGATTGCCGAGCTCGAGGCCCTTATTCGCGCCGAGACAGTTAAGTGGGAGAATATGCAGAACCAGATCCTGAAGCACAAGCTTGCCAGGCGTATCCAGGATTTGAAGCGGGATCTATCCTTGAAGAAGGTCTCCGTTGGTGAGGGCGATGATGCTGATACTTGATTGCACACTCCATCTTTTTCAACGGTTTGATTTGATACCCGATCGCATGTTCTGTACAATTAAGCAATGACATGTCCTCACGTCTATTTACTGAGACACATATTCCATTTCAACGAATTATCCTTGCCAACTTAATTTAGGCGACTGGATCTCCTGTACCTGCACGGACAGCTCCTTTCACATCCAGATTCTCCTCTTCCTTCAGCTTCCGCTGTCTCAGCGCTTCCCTCTCAGCAGCCTCTCCATCAGGCTCTGCAGGACTCTGCCCAACACGGTCGCCTAGAATGCGATCATGTTCTTCCCTCTTTCGCCCCATGTCCGCAGCAAGATCTCTTTCTTCTCCGAATCCAGGATTTCCAGGCCCTTGTGCGCTGCCCACGGGACCGGCATGCGCCCCGGCCTGTGCTCGCTCGCTTTTCTGTCTTACCGCCTGAGCAATTTCTCCTTCTGCGGGTTGCTGCTCCACGCCATATTCCAAGTCGACATCAGAAGCGGCTTGCAGGTTCTTCTGCTCCTTTTCGCGCCTCTGCTTTAGTCTTGCGAGTTGTTCGTCATTGGAGGGGTTGGAGTCTGCGGTACGACGCGTAATGGAGGAGACTGGTTCACCGCGCTGGCGCTGGTGAGGCGGAACTCGCTGCTCTTGGGGTGTCTGGGTGACGGGGTTCTGGGGTTGGTCGTACGTGGCTTGCTTGGAGGGTTGCGCTGGTTGTTGGGGTGATTCCATTTTGATGATGCTTGCGAATGCAGCTAAGCGATGAAAAACAAATTGATATAGACAGGGGCGATATAATGGCTTCGTCTTTCTCTAACTGCACAATAGATTGATTCATAGAATGTCTGGCGTCCTCGCGGTAGATAAGCAGTTTGATGGATGCATGACGTCAGTGACGATGCCTTGCTTCACTCGCGATCGTCCTATATGATGATTTCTGTCTACCCCGTGGAGAGATGTAGATGGAGGCACAAATCAATGAATCTGATTTACTCGAGATTTCGTCAATCTACGTTGTCTTGCTTGCCGTTTAGGACTTAATGTGTTTTGTGTTGGTGACTCAGTGGCCTGAACCTCTCATATTTATATATAACGCTGGAAATTATGGCTGCCCGAGCCCGCTACCCTGAAGACCTTTTTAATTATAATTCTTTGATCTACTCATCGGCTGTATTCCCAGTCGTCGATGGACACTTCGAGGCATCTTCGACCTGTCTCAGTTTTCTACGCTTCTGAAAATAGACAGGGCTACTACCTCTATGGCTTCTATGTAGGGACTGATCAATGATCTCCAGACGCTTGAGATCTACAGGACGGCAATGTCAATTCAGGCTTATAGTAGAATTAATGTGATGTTTTGGAAGTCATATTACAGGAGTGTCATTCAGGATATTACAGTTGAGGTCCAATTCTTTGAGCTGAATCTAAGCAGCAGGGAGCTTTGGAGCAGAGGAAACTGGGAGTTATGAAGACTTGAAGGGAGATTTTGGTATTCGATTCTATGCTATTTTTCTATACATTGACATTTCTTTGAATGAAGGTCGTCTAGGGTGTTGTGGTCTGCGGTTGCCTGGAACACACCAGCATGACTACATTTTACCAGCAAAGTCAGGACGTGCAAAGAAAGCTTCAAGAATAGCATTCAGCTCTTCCCTTGCATCCAGCTGTATCCAGTGACTTGTCGTACTCACTCGCTTGAGGGTGAAGTCCTCGGCGACGTCCTTCATCTGTTCAAGGAACCCGGGTATCTCAAACTTGTTCGGCTGTGGGCCGATCATGAGAACTGGCATCTTTAGTTTGGCACAGAGGTTTGCTTCGACCTCGTCATCCTTGTTCACATTCTTGACAAGAGCGTGGTACCAGTTGAGGGCTGGCTTGTGGTGGCCTTGCAAGATCTTGTTGTGCATAGTTCGTTCCTGAGCTTGTCAGCTGCATGTCCATGGATCGTTTGAGGTTTAATATACCTCGTCGCTGACATAGGACGCTAAAGGACCTTGCTTATCATTCTGGAGCCATGCCTTTGCGGCGCCTACAGGTCCAAGATGCTCAGCCCACAAGTCTGAGCTGTCGGGGTAGAACAGCGAGAAGAACGAGTCAGCCTGTCATTGAATGCGACGTTAGCCTGAGAGCTCTCCTCGCAACGAGTGCATCCCTCACATGCTGATCCAAAGTACTGCCTGCCTCATCCTCGATGAAAAATCCTATATACCCGCACTTCTCGAATCCCAACAACTGCTTTGTAAACCTGTTTACCATGCCCAAGTCAAAATGCTCTCCCGGCTTTGAGTACGGGGCGCCGATAAACGTGCATGACAGTAGCCGGTTGGGGTAATAATCTGCTAGTCTTGATAGGAGATTACATCCAGTATCGTGCGCCACGGCATGGACCCGTGTCAGACCCTCGTGGTCTAGTAATTCGATGATCTCTTTCGCCATACTCTTGAGCTTATACTCCTCCACCCCGGTTGGTTTCGAGGTGCCGCCATACCCCAGCAGATCTGGCGCCAGGACTCCATACCCCAGTTCGATGAATTGGTGGATCTGGTGGCGCCAGTCATAGCAGGAAGACGGGAACCCGTGCAGGAAGAGGATGGTTGCTCGTGAAGGAGCTGCGGCGTGGTAGACATAATCATAGGTATGGGAAGTTGAGAGAGTTTGGAGTTTGGCAAACTCCGGGAATGCAATGCTTGCCATTTTGCGACTTCAACGTGGGGTAAGATTAGAAGACGTCACTGAGATTAGTCGAAGCCTCGGAAAAGTTCCTGGCAGATCGAACTGCTGCGGAGAGTTCCTCTGAGGTTCGGAGACTTAATCGACTGTTGGTCTTTGTCCCGCTGTAATTGGCGATGTTTCCATCCCTTGCAAGCAGGTTTCCCAATTTGTTGACTCATTTCCTCATCAACCTAGAGGAGATCTATAGCCTCCTGTCGGTGTGGGCTCCGTATGATCATCCTTGACTGAGCTAATGATGCATGGTGGCCCTAAGGCAGCCATGTCTAGCCTCAGGCCAAAGCACAGCATGAGTGCATCCAAACAATCGATTTCATCCCATTTCCGGCTTGATACACAGGAATCATCAGCAGGAACATATATTGAAACTGAGCATACGTTTGTTGATATGATTACTTTATCAGAGGCCGAGGCATGTGATATACTGCAAGGTTGATTATAATTCGTTGAGCTGTGCAACCGAGGTTCAAGAAAGAGCTATCTCTACCACTCTCCAACAGCATATTTTCATCTTGACAGTGATGTACATAGCTTCATGACTGCGACATCTTTCAAACTAACGCTCTCAAAAACCAATAAAGCACTATCCACTGCAAAGCCATCATGTCCTTGTTCACCATCCCCATCTCCTCCACAGGAGGCAGCATCGTCTGCACTAATCCCACCTCCTCCGAGAACGAGAAAAACATCTACCTCCTCACCTTCACCTCGCCAAAAGACAACAGACTCACCCCGACTTTCATCGACGCCCTCATTCTAGCCCTAGACATAATCGAACACCGCTTCCCCAAAGGTGTCGTGATCACCACAAGCGGCATCCCTAAATTCTACAGCAACGGGCTCGACCTCGAACTCGCAACTACCACAGAGGGCTTCCTCGATAAGTGGCTTTGGAAGCTATTCCGGCGCTTTATCACGTATGTTTCTGAGATCTCACAGCGCAACAGATTACTGACACGGTGCAGGTTTCCCATGCCAACAATCTGCCTGCTAAACGGGCACGCCTTCGCAGGAGGGCTCATGTTTGCCATGTACCACGACTACCGGATCCAGAATCCGGCCAAGGGCTTTCTGTGCATCAACGAGCTCGAGTTCGGGGTGACTCTGCAGAGCCCCATGATGAGCATCTTCAGGGAGAAATTGTCCCCAACCGCGTTCCGGGATCTGATTCTTGAGGCGAAACGGTTCCCGGGTCCGCAGTCTTTTGCTGTGGGATTGGTGGATGGCGTAGGTGGGCTTGAGGAGACGCTGCAGTTGATTCGGGAGCGGGGGCTGCAGACTAAGGCTGCAACGGGGATCTATGGTATGATGAAGGAGGAGATGTACCGGCATACGCTGGACATCCTGGATAACCATGCGGGTAATTTGGCGTGGAGGGAGAAGGTGGAGGAGAAGAAAGGGGCAGCAGGAGAGGCTGCGTTGAGGGCTGTAGAGGCGTTTGAGAAGCAGAGAAATGCGAAGCTGTGAGTTCAGATTAAGCTGTATGTGTCGGGTGCTTGTTCATAGGGATACCTGCGCTAGTGCAAATCTGTATATACTGAGCCTACAGATGACAAGACTTCCTTCATTCACTGCTCCTTCACTATCTGGTCTAAGTAATGGTAACATCCCCTTCCGCACACACACACTTCTCTGCCTCTATCGTTCGTCTCCTCTTGAGTTCATTCATACAGGCACCTCACCCACCAACGCACAATGATTCTCAGTGCATTCATTCTCGTTCTCACGCTGGTCGCTGCCCTGGCCCCCGAATATGACTTCATCGTCGTTGGAGGAGGAGTCAGCGGCCTTGTCGTCGCCAACCGTCTCTCTGGGGATCCCAGCGTCTCCGTTCTCGTCATCGAAGCCGGTCCATCAGTCCTCGACAACGTCAACGTGACAGATGTCGATGTGTACTCCCGTGCCTTTGGCACCGAAATAGACTGGCAGTTCATATCTGAACCACAGCTCTTCGGCGGAGCACAGATTCTCCGGGCCGGACGAGCGCTGGGTGGTGGGAGCACGATCAATGGTGAATCATCCCAAACCGGATATGGACATGAATAAGAGTTAACAGTGAGTTTAGGAATGGCCTACGTGCGAGCCGAGGACGTCCAACTTGACGCTTGGCAGTCCATCGGCAACGACGGCTGGAACTGGACGAGCCTGTTTCCTTACTACCTCCAGAGCGAGAACCTGACCTTGCCGACGGCCGCGCAGACGGAAGCAGGCGCAACATACGATGCCTCCGTGCATGGCTCCCGCGGTCCTCTCAAGGTTGCTTTCCCGCATATGCAGAGAGGTGGGAATGACCTTACGCCTGCGGTGAACCTGACGCTTCTGTCTGCGGGAATCCCGTGGAACGTAGATGTCAATGCTGGGCGCATGCGTGGGTTTAGTATTTACCCCTGGACGGTCGATGAGGAGGCGTATATCCGGCATGATGCGGCTCGGGCTTATTTCTGGCCGTTTGAGTCGCGATCGAACCTGCATGCCTGGTTGAACACGAGAGTGAATCGGATTGTTTGGAGGGAGGGGCCCGGTGAAGAGAACATCAGCGCAGCTGGCGTGGAGGTTACTGCACAAAATGGCACTGTAAGTGTTGTGATGGCGAGAAGGGAGGTGATTCTCTCCGCTGGAGCCCTCAAGTCCCCCACCATTCTTGAGCTCTCAGGAGTCGGTAATCCACGGTGAGTCCGCTTGTCAGTCTACATCCTCGATGAATGGACTTGAGCTGATGCGCCGAACTGTCTTCTAGCATCCTCAATCGACACAACATCCCTGTTCGAGTCTCGCTCCCGGCCGTCGGAGAGAACCTACAGGACCAGATGAACACTCTTATGACAGCGTCGACGCATTCACCCATCACTGGCGGCAGAACCGTCACTTTCGCGTCAGCCACAGACATCTTCAGTGAGGACACCGCCTCCCTCGCCAACCTCACACGTATCCATCTCCCCTCGTACGCTGCCGTCGTCGCCAACATGAGCCACGGAGCCATGCTGCCTGGGCACCTGCAGCACCTATTTCAAGTCCAACACGACCTTATCTTCAAGAACAACATTCCTATCGCAGAAATAATCTTCAAGCCCGGCGGCGAGAAAACAGTCAACGCCGGGTACTGGGGCCTACAGCCCTTTGCGCGTGGGGACGTGCACATCCGCTCTTCTGATCCGACAGCCCAGCCCACGATCAACCCCAATTACGGCCTGTTGGAGTGGGATGTCCAGCTGCAGGTTGCAATTGCCAAGTCCATCAGGCGGATGTTTCGCTCTGCGCCGCTCGAGGGGATGATTGAGAAGGAATCGAGGCCTGGTCTTTCGGCGGTTCCTGGGGGTGCCGCGGATGAGGTGTGGGCGAACTGGTTGAAAGATAACTGTACGTGAGGTGATTCTTTCTTTCTTCCTAGGTGGCTCTAACTCAAGTGCGCAGATGCGTCCAATTTCCATGCCATTGGCACAGCGGCCATGATGCCCCATTCTCTAGGCGGAGTCGTTAACAATCGGCTGCAGGTGTACGGCACGGCCAATGTTCGCGTTGTCGATGCGTCTATTCATCCGTTTCAGCTTTGCGGACACCCGATGGCTAACCTTTACGCTATTGCAGAGCGTGCGGCGGATTTGATCAAAGAAGACTGGATAGCCTAGGGGGCTGAGACTGGATCTGGGGAGGATAATGAAGCTTTCAGCTATGAGATGCAACATGACTTATGAAAATTAATGACCGTTCTTTAAATAATGGTTCCAAATGAGGAAGTTATTTGCAAAGCGCGTTTTCATTTCATTTCTCCGTCTGTAAAGGACAGCTTGGTAGTGGTGATGATTCTAGAACCAGACAAGCTGGTCCATGAAGCTATGTTCCTGACAATGTTGGGCTCTTCACGCCCAGTATGACTTGTCTAAGTGGGTTGAGGAGGATTTGAAGCTGTATCGGAATCCGCTCGATGATTGAAACCTTGTATATGTACAGAGCGTCAAAATGAATCCTAGAATCCTTTCCGACATGGCGATAAACGTCGAGGCAGCCGGTAATAATATTTCAAGGCAAGAGTCATCGTTCTGCTGTGACGTAGCCTTGAAGGCAGGCTGGCCGCTGGATAGCAGACCGAGACAAGTGCGCATTCACTATTTCATGCCAGCAGTGGCAACGTGACCCTTCAAGAGAAAAATTCTCCCAGCCCTGGGATATACCAAGGCTACAAGAGAGTCTGCATCACATCAAAACTCGCTTTTCGTGCAACGTCTCTGCTATCACCACTGTTATTCGCTCACCACCACAAGCGGAGCCATGCCGAGCAAAGCACACCAACACACTCAGATGCGAGGGTAAGTAGAGCTTCTTGTGACATTAATCTGTACCCATCTCTCTTGATCTTCTCTTTGGCTATCTCTTCAAGTCACGTCCCTCCCCTCAAGATCCTGTCAGTTTCTCCATTCTACCACTGCACTTTGGTCTGACAATCGTTAGGCTTCTCCCCTCAGCTATCGAAGACGGAAAAGAATTGGACCCCAAAATGAAGCGCATCGCCCGCGAAGTAGAGGAAGATACCCCGAAAGCCGAAGCAAAGGGTGGCCCTAAAGAGACCAAGTCTAAGCCAAACCCAGCCTCCAAGCGCGTCAGCTTCAACCGCGAGGAGATTGCGAAGGTTATGATGGCTCAGTCCCAGGCAGTTCGACAGGCCACGCTCGGTCTACCTTTCCAAGCTCGTGACGAAGTCGGCAAGAATGTCCCAGGGCCCAATAAACCTCAGAGCGTAAGTGTTCAGAGGTCTTGCCCTTCAAGCATCGCTCACACATATCCTAGACCAACCACAAGCAGCCCGTGTACGACGGAGCCACCAAGGGTCGGCCCCCCCTCTCGAACGAGGCTATCGCAGCCATCCTCAGATATACCAAGCCGGAGTGTAACAAGGCCCAGACCTGGGTTCATGCTCATGAGTTCACCAAAGCAGTTCAGGAGAGAATGAAGGCCAAAATGGAGGAACGTGAGGACCTCCGCAAGAAGATTCATCGCAAGCTGCATGCTCAGTTGATGTTGAACAACCCCGGCGCGAATCCCACCAACCTCCATGCAGTGCGAGGCGACCAGATGGACGATGGTACTAGCAAGCTGACTCCGACGGAGAGGGTTCAGAGAGCCCACGACAGACTTCAGAAAGCATTGGCAGAAATTCTGGACGTGTAGTTGTTGCCTTGCAGCGTTGAAGATGTTTGGATTCATCTCAACTGGTCTGCTGGTCCCAGATGGTTGGCATGTCTCCCTCTCTGCTGTCTCTTCTTGGTGGGTGAATGTGACATGATGAATCAACAAATGACGTGCTATGACTGAATCGGTCTGACCATCTGGCATGGAATGTACAATAATGATCAGCTCTTGTGAAAATGGACAGTGTCTCTTCAGATTTTCTTGTTCTTGCTCGTCCCTTTAACTTGTGTTGGACTATCCAATTTATCTACCAACGGCCGATAAGGTGAGGCTACGACATGCTCAGGCGCCCGTTGCGAAGTTTCTGGACGTCTCGGCTCGCCAGGAGACGGACGCCGCAATTGGTCTTCATGCATGCGATCCAATGGTTCACCTACGACTTGATACTTGGCCCAGTTGATCGGTGGCATTCGGACCACGTTTTGGGGCGCTGGGATCGTTCCTATCTCGGCCAACGCCTGCTTCGTTGATTCCCCTGCCGTGTCGCTGACCGGTTTGTCGTCTTTATGTGTGAAATTGATGTAAGCTCCTTGATCTTTCGCTGACGTGAGATTCCCCGCGGCCAATTCGCGAGCAAACCCCTCCGGATCCGCAGCAGCAACCTTCTTCAACTTCTCCAGGGTCTGTATATCTCGTATACTCTGCTGTTTCTGTAGTTGCAGGATAGAAATGGCGGACCGCAATGCGATCGCATCGGGGTTCTCACTTTCCGATATCGGCACGGGGGTGGGCTCTTGACCGAAGACCACCTGGCCCTGTGTGCTTGGGAAGTTGGAGAGTGATGCATAGGGTGGAGCTGGAGTAGTAGGTGAGGGCGATGTAGCTGGGGGTGCGAAGGGATGGGAGGCTCCGTTTGCCATGGCGGAGTCGTTCGCCGGGGCGAGATGCGACAGAACTGGAGTCATTGGGGAATAAGGCGGGCGGGGCGGCGTGCCTGGCTGATCGTCGTTCTCGTGGTTCTCTTGCGCTGGCTGCATAGTACCGTTCTCAATTCAATCAAAGAAGGGTATTCATGCTGTAAAGGCAGACAAAGAGACGAGTCGACCTTGTTGAAATGGCAAAGAGTCGAGTAGATCAGGTTGATACTGTGTCGTGTTGCAGTGATGACTGACCGAACAATGAAACAACCGGGAATGACGTCTTGCCGCTTCTGCCTGGTTCGGATATTCGGTTCTTGCCGACCGAGTGGATGTTGATAAACAAAAGAGATGAAGCTATTGCCGGTGTTCTAAATGCCCGTGGGCGCATCCATTTGCTGGCATTAAGCAAAATGAGCAGTGAGATTATTCTTATCAAAACCAAGCAATCCTGGTCATGGTGACTTCTCATCTACAGAGTGGTATTGATGGCCTTGTAGCCTTATCGCAGGCTGATTGCAGGCCACATTAGAGCGATACCTCAACAAACATTTAATACAACAGGGAAGTAAAGGTCAGGTTGAATATCTCTTGAATTTATCATTCTGAGCCTTCTTAAATCACTTTTACAATCGAAAAACAAAGAGATCATTGACATACTAAGATAGACCATGGGACTATCCATGGGCTGACCGAGGGATAGTGGGTGGCCTGATTGATCTGGCCGATTCCCTCACCGCCTTTAAAAAAGTAGCGAAAAAAAAGGGAAAATGATCTTCGTCCATTCTGAGAAGAATACTCCCATAATTCTTCGATAAAAGTATCAATATATACTTGCAAAATGAAGCGGAAAACTGATACAAGAGAGGCTCTGAATGGCAATGGCCAGCCGGAGACCAAGAAGCGCGCACTGTCAAACGAAGAAGTGGCCGGGCGCTTTCGTGATGGCCTATTCGAGCCCTCGGAGCAGCAGAACTATACCAAGGCATACGCCCAGTCTGGCCCGTAGGTATCCCCTCGCATGATTGCTCACTCACAGAAAAAGTAGAGAGGCGCTGACAGGAGCAAGTTACAAGCATGGAGTTATTCATCCCCTAATCGAGGATTCCCTTTTGCGATCGGTCCGTAACGAGATCCAAGAACACCTCGACTTCACCGAGAAAGAAACCGATATCTACAAGATCTTTCAGTCTGGCGATCTGGCGAATCTGGACGGCTTGGACGATGCTTCTCTGTCAAAGCTACCTTCATTGCTGAAGCTGCGTGATGCCCTGTACTCTGCCCGATTCCGTGAATACTTGTCGGCCGTGACGGGCTCTGGCAAGCTTAGCGGGCGCAAGACCGATATGGCCATCAACATCTACAACGAGGGATGCCACCTTTTGTGCCATGACGACGTGATTGGAAGCCGCCGTCTGAGCTATATTCTGTACCTGACTGATCCTGACACTCCCTGGCAAGCCCAATGGGGAGGTGCTCTACGCTTGTACCCTACTACCACCAAAAAGGACATCAACGGGGAGGACGTCTTAGTTCCCAGCCCTGATTTCAGTCTGAGCATACCCCCGGCATTCAACCAGCTCAGCTTCTTTACGGTCCAGCCCGGTGAGAGTTTTCATGATGTTGAGGAAGTGTATCACCCCAAGGAGGGTGAGGATAGATCGGCCAAGCGCGTGCGCATGGCCATCAGTGGGTGGTTCCATATCCCACAGAAGGGAGAGGATGGTTACGAGGAGGGTCTGGAGGAGAAGCTCGCCGAGCGAAGCAGTCTGGCGCAGCTCCAGGGCCGCGGCGACATCTACGATTTGCCCCAGGCCAAGCCGGTCGTGTGCGACAAGGAGCCGGAGGTCAAGGGCAAGGGAAAGGCCAAGATGGAGGAAGAGCCCAGCTCCGAGTTCAGCGAATCCGACCTCAACTTTCTACTTCAGTATATTGCGCCGTCCTACCTGACGCCCGACATCGCCGAGGAAATGTCCGAGACATTCTCGAACGAGTCCTCACTCAACCTTGATCGTTTCCTGTCCGATAAGTTTGCTGCGCGTGTACGGGCCTATATCGAAGAGCAGGAGAAGCAGGAACTTCCCAAGTCCTCCGAGGAGATCCAGGCCACAACCGAATGGACCGTTGCTCGCCCGCCGCACAAGCAGCGCTATCTGTTCCAGCAGCATGGGACCGTCACATCGGACCAGAAAACTCCTATCCAGGAATTGCTCAATGATCTGTTCCCCTCCCCCGCGTTCCGTAAATGGCTGGCTTTGATTACCGGTGCTGAACACATCACGAGCTATGATTTCCTGGCGCGTCGCTTCCGCCGCGGGCAGGATTACACGCTCGCGAGCGGATACGACGGCGAAGAGCCCCGGCTCGAATTCACGCTGGGCCTGACGCCCACACCCGGCTGGGAGAAGGAAACGGACGAGGACGAAGAGATGGAAGACGAGAACGGCGAGGCGCAGGAGAAATCCAAGGCGAAGGAACCTGCCGCGGCGGATGAACCTGCGGTAGGCGGTTACGAGATCTACATGGCCGGTGACGACGAAGACGACGGAGACGCAGCCATCTACAAGTCGGCCGCGGCGGACGAG